TTAATGTTATTTTGTCAAATTAATATTGCCTTTAGAATTACTGAAACTTCATTAATTTTTAAATTCTTAATTAATTTTTAAATATATAATACAAGTCATTTTCAATAGTAGGTCGGAATTTTGAGAAGTAACAATTTTGAGAATTGATTAAATACAATTTTTTACAAGTTCAGAAAATAACTCCTATATTTTAAGTAAAAATATATTCAACCATTTATATTTGTATATATTTAAAGAAATAATGTATTTGTTGATCTTTATATTCTAATCATTCTTTTTCATAAATTGTAAATTATGTTGATTTGATTATATATAGTATATGAAAGTAATCAATTTTAATTTATTACAAACTTAAATTTACTACCTTTACTTACATTAATAACAACCATCACAAAGTTACAAATTTCCATCATCACAATCTTCATATTATTCAAGAATAATTTATCTCCACAATAAGGGAAACATACGTTTTCTAACATTTATTATCTTACTTCACACTCTATGCTTTAATAATATATCAATCTTAACATTGGATACAAATTCCAAATTAACAAATTTAACTAAAATCTAAGCATTAGTATTTATGTAAATAACAAGAATTAGATTAGTATCATCGTATTATTTCATTTAAAATCCAACCTTCTTGAAAAATGAAACATTTACCATCTAAACAACCTAAAAATTATTTCTGGTTAAGAGTAAAATACTTCAAAATCTCTATATTCTGTAGCTGTTTGAATTGGAATATTAATTAATTCTATAGATCATCATGATTTATTATTAATATTTCTATCAATTAATTATAAGAACTAATTGTTTATTTACCATATAAATAATTTCCTATTACAGTAGATGACAATAATTAAAAAAAACCTTATTAATATATCTTAATCGAAATAATTATAATATGAATATGATCCAAATATCCATCCATCAGAATTTTTTTGATTAATTTCTAATTTAAAAATATTAATGCAATTTTTATTATAAGCAAAATGTTTAATAATTATCTATGCACCAGCACATTCAAACTAACACTATAAAAAGTAAGGAATTGCTTAGTGGAAAAATAACTATTTTTCATTATTACTAATCGATTAGAATGTTCATATAAAGGTGAAACATGTGAAAGCTAAGCAGAAAGGTGTTTGACTTGTCCATTAAATTCCTTATGTATACTTGATTCTGTTAAGGGGTTTTTTTGTCCAGGAGAATATTATGATAAAGAAGATTAAGTTTTTTGTCAAAGTAATTTGCATATAGGCATTTTAGGATACCATTTGAATTGTAAATCTTGAGATGGAAAGGCTCAAGATAACTGCCTCACTTGTGATTCTCTTGCTAAAAGAGATTTAAAAATAATGAATGCAAATGTTAACCACATTTTTTAAAATGTAAGTTTAGGAAGGCACTAGTAATAATATTGGATCTAAAAATTAGAATCTAATGCATTTTGTTATAATTGGTATTGAATAATATGAATGTGTCAACAGTTATGAAAATTGTATGAAATAATGACTCTAATTTCCTTGCAATGATGATAGATATTTAGTTGATAATAAATGCAAATTTATTATCACTAAATTGAATGGAGGTACAATAAGTAAATTTGAATATATTAGATGATTAAATGTTAAAGTATAAAATCAATTAATAAATAGATTGTCATTATTCATATGGAACGTGTAAAGGGATGGAAGAAGGAGATTGCATTATTTGTGTAGATACTGATTCCAGATATTAATTTGGAAATACTTATTTCTGTAAAGAAGGATATTATAATGCAGGATTGCCTGTTTCTTAAAGTATTAATAGATTTTAATAGATAGAATGTAATTATAAAAAGAAAAGGATACAAAAAGCAATCTGAAAGTTGGAATTTTTATCTGAATAATAGTGTCAGATAATTTTTTTCAGGTTTCAATAAATGTAAATGCATCCAAAAATAATATGATGATGGATAGAGTCAAGTTTGCTTCGGTAATTATATTATTAATCATTAAAGAATGCCATTATTCATGTCTCAGATGAAATTAAATAGAAACTAAATTTGAATTAAGTTCAAATGAATCAAACAGAATATATAATGATCCGTTTTTACCTGTGATTTTAATATTGGATATTATGATATTGGAGTTGAAAATTGTTAAAATGACACTACTCTTGCATTTAGGTTCTCTTAAATTATATAGTTAAAGGAAGTCATTCAACTTACACTATTTAGGATTTATGTTCAGTAGCAAAGCATAATCATTTATACCTTTTATGTTAGCATAAACCCAAGTTTTAAATTGGTTCTTCTCTAGAAGTTTTTCGAATAGGTCTTTTTTCCATATGCTATTGGATTCCTCAAGTTAATTGTTAGATTTATAAAAATAACTAATTGCAATTCAAAACTGGATTGCTATTCATATCTAAAAAAAAGAAAAAAGGATTCATGTTTCGATCAATTTAATAGGATAAGCTCTAAATAATTTTTCAAATATTATAGCAGTATGAGAAAATAAGATTTCTGCTTATCAAAACTTTACAACTTTAAGTTATATAACAATTTAACAACTAGCTAAATCGTTGTGAATTAATTTTAAAATCTATTTCTTCCCCAGTTATTTTATTATATAAATAAAGGTGTGTTTTATTGATTCTAAAAATTCTTATTTTATTATTAATTCTGATATCCTAACTTTAAATCTGATTATATACTTTTAATATTAGATTAATTAAATTAATCAAAAAATATTTTATGCAAACCTCGTAAATTGAAAAAAAACTTTGCTAAGTGCACAAATCAGAAATAGTGGTAGTTGATTTGAAGCCATAAACCAGAATAGAAGACAAATACTTATGTACAAGATGCCTTGCTGAAAAAGTTGATAAAGAAAATTTGACATTGCTCCAAGACACTATTGAGATGATTTAAAGCATGAAGAATTAAAGCTAAAAGCTCAATAAGGAAGAAAAT